CAGGAGAATGGCGTGAACCTGGGAGGCGGAGCTTGCAGTGAGCTGAGATCCAGCCACCGCACTCCAGCCTGGGCGACAGAGCCAGACTCAGTCTCAAAAAAAAAAAAAAAAAAAAGTATTAATCTATGATTAGAATCTTTAGAAGTTATAGGACATTTTCTCATAAACATAAGTTCTAGGCATAAATGAACTTTTTCTGAATATTTCAAAATATATTTTCCTGTGTTTTATTATATTCTTTATTTTTAGACAGGGTCTCACTCTGTCACCCAGGCTGGAGTGCAGTGGCATGATCTTGGTTCACTGCAACCTCCACTTCCTGGGTTCAAGTGATTCTCCTGCCTCAGCCTCCCGAGTAGCTGGCATTACAGGCATACACCACCACGCCTGGCTAATTTTTGTATTTTTAGTAGAGGCAGGATTTTACCATATTGGCCAGGCTGGTCTCGAACTCCCAACCTCAGGTGATCCACCCACCTTGGCCTCCTAAAGTGCTGGGAATACAGGCGTGGGCCACTGCACCCGGCCTTTTCGTATTTTAGAACATATTTCCTATCCTTAGTGTTCTCTTTTCCCTCAATATAATACCTGATGTATTACTTTAGTGCAATGACAACTATAGATAGCTTTGCTTACATATTTTCTTGAAAAAGTCCTCAGACTTAAAAGCTATTCATTTAACTATGAATTACAGATATACTAGATAGCAGTAATATATACTTACCATTTCAGCATCTTCTTCTAACTTTTGTTTTGCTTCTTGCTCTCTACAAATAAAAATATCATAATTATAACATACTTCCATTTACTATATAAGAAAATTAAGTCCTAATAAAGTTAACCAATTATGATCACTAAACTTACTTAACCAAAGCCAGAAGTCCTTAGGTTTTTTTGATCGTCCAATGCTAGACTGCAATGCAATTTGGCCCCGAAATTGTCAAGGCAGCTTAAGATCGCAATGTTTCACTAGCAAAGAGAAAGGTCTACTGCCACTATTTCAGAGCTCACCAACTATATTTCTGTCAGAGCATTAAGGAATTCAAAGTATGTCATGATTAGTTCAACATACTTACTGTTTAGCTCTTAATTTAGCTTCCACTTTGTTTTGTTTTCTTTCTTCATTTTTTTTGGCAAAGTAATCATCCCTAAAGAACACACAGTACAGAGGCTAAGTTCACGAGAACAAAGTTAAGACTGCAGATTATTTTGAATAACTTAAGCCATGGCACAGCAATAAATGTTGCATACATTTACTATCAACATAATCATCAACTAAAAATTCAAAATATGCCAAGGAAGTTACTCTCTCATGTTGTTTTAAATAACAGCTTTACTAAGGAAAAATTCCATGTGCCACAAAATTCACTCTTTTAAAGTGTACCTTGAATGTTTTTTTAGTATATTCAGTTGTACAACCATCACTACTAATTTCAGAACATTTTCATGACCCCAAAAAGAAACCCCCTATCCATTAGCAATTTCATGTTGATTTTCATTTATCATTCATGTATAGGGGAAAAAAAGTGTATCAGAAGTCATGCAAATAATATTGCAGTTTTCTATAGTGTTAATTCCACAAAAGGAGAAAATTCTAAAATCCCCAAGATCCAAGAATAACAGCAATTATGAAAACCATGTTAAGTAATTTTTGAGGAATTAACACTGATACTGTGACTGACACTATGACCGTGATCCATCACAGTGCATCTCTAAGTCAATCAGGTTTAGTATATACCATTTAGAAGACCGTAATGCACTAAAATACTAAAAATATTGGCCTTTCAGGGGATGCTACTTCCATGCTCCTTACCCTAGTGTGTCAATTCCATATAACTAAAAGGCCAGGAGAAACATCAGCAAAAAGACTTACTTGAAAAGTATTAGCAAATCTGTTTCTTTGTACTTCTGGTCAGGGGTCTCTACAAACTTCTTAGCAGATTCAATGCTATCAAACACAACAAAAATTGATCCCTATAAAAAAGAAGGAAAATATTTTTTAAGTTATTTCCCATATATTCTAAAACTAGAAAAAGTCTGTATTATCATACCTTAAATGCTTTATGCAATGTTCTTCTCATCTGAATATTTAGTACTTGACCTTTATCTTCTAACCATTCTTTTATGTCATCAAGAGTTGCATCAGTTGGGAAGCCTTTCTGTGAAGAGTGGGAAGTAATGTACAAATAACAAATAATGACT